GAAGGATATGCATCAGCAGCAGCTGCTGCTGCTGTAACAGCACAAGGGCAGCAGCAGCAAAAGCACCTTGATGAACAGCAGCAAAAGCAGCAGCAGCACAAACACAGCAACGACAGCAGCAACAAAAACAGCAGCAGCTATAGCAACAAACGCAGCGCCCACAGCAGCATCAACACGAGCAGCAGCCACCCAGCAGCAGCAACAACAACAGCAGCACCAGCAACAACTGCAGCAACAACAGCAGCAGCAACAGCAGCAGCAACAGCAGCAGCAACAGCAGCACGGACGAGAGATAGAGGAGGTTTTAGCTCCAGGGGTTGCATGAATGTGCAGCAGCAAACTGCCGTCAGGATTGAGCCTCATAAAAGCAGGCAAGTTGCTGCTGCTGCTGCTGCTGCTGCTGCTGCTGCTGCTGCTCTTCGCTGCTGCTGCGGCCTTCTTGCCCTGAAGCAAAACGCAAAAATAGGAGCAGCGACTGCATTAAAAAACGACAAATGACACCTCAAACCCCAAACCCTAAACCCTAAACCCTAAACCCTAAACCCTAAACCCTTGCCTTCTTCTGAGATGACATCGAGGAAGCCGCACAGTGCAATCGGCGTTTTGCTGCTGCTGTTAATGCTGCTGCTGCTGCTCGCTTTGCTGCTGCTGTTGCTGCTGCTGCTGCTCGTTTTGCTGCTGCTAGTGAAGAGCAGGATGATGCGTCTCCTCTGGAAGGGGACAGCAAAGGGCTTCTGCTGCTGCGGCTGCTGCTGCACCAGCTGCTGCTGCTGCTGCTGCTGCGCCAGCTGCTGTTGCTGCTGCTGTTGCACGGAGGAAAGGCGTAGATACAGCTGGGCTGATGCTGCAAGAAGAGTAAACTCGGTGCTGCAGCAGCAGCTGTTGCTGCTGCTGCTGCTGCTGTTGCTGCTGCTGTTGTTGCGGCTGCTGCTGCGTGCTGCTGTAGCGGCAGCAGAAGAGCAGCGGTAAGAAAATTCAAAGCCCCCCCTGAGGGGCCAGGCATTCGCAGCAGATGCTGCAGTATGAGATATTTAGGGTTTAGGGTTTAGGGTTTAGGATCTGCAGGGGCCCCACAGACAAGTCTGGTGCAGCAAGAGTCGAGGGTTTAGGGTTTAGGGTTTAGAAATTAGGGTTTGAGACCCAAAGCAAAAAAATACAGTTCAAAGCTTCGCGTTTCGGGTCTAAGGTTTGGGGTTTGGGGTTTAGGGTTTAGGGTTTAGGGTTTAGGGCTTGAGGTCTCGCTAGGGTTTAGAGTTCCCCGGTGGGCTGGTGACAGCTACGAGGGCTGAAATAAGGGTTTAGGGTTTAGGGTTTAGGGTTTAGGGTTTGAGAAATGCAGTGTTGAAGACCCTTTTCAATATGCAGACAATAGAGACACTTTCTGCTGCTGCTGCTGCTGTTGCTGTTGCTGCTGCTGCTGCTGCTGCTGCTGCAGCGTGCAAGCCCCTCTCCTATCTCGTTTCTGTCTGACTTATTTCTCAGTACTTTCTTTAGGGCTTCTCTTCTTCTCCGGGTTTATTTTTTCGTGTTTAGGGTTTAGGGTTTAGGGTTTAGGGTTTAGGGTCAAGGGTTTAGGGTTTAGGGTTTCGGCTGCCCGTGCCGCAGCCGACAGGAGACCAGCCGCTCGCCTTAACCCTCTCTCTCTAGTTAGCTGCAGCTAGCTGCAGCTAGCTGCAGCTAGCTGCAGCAGCTTCTCATTGATGCTCTTTGCAGCGGAAGAGGAGACCCCAGGGAACAGCGCCGCAGCACGAGCAGCAGCACGAGCAGCAGCAACAGCAGCAGCAGCAGCAGCAGCAGCAGCAGCAGCATTCTCTTTCTCTTTTGCTGCAGGATAAACAAGAGTCTCTTACCCCTGAAGAGTTGCAGTCATTCTTCTCTAATATAGAAGAGCCAAGCCCTCATATGTCTTGTAAACCCTAAACCCTAAACCCTAAACCCTAATTTGTAAACCCTCAGAACTCAGCTCCGCCCAAGTCGTACTGATCGCATGTGCTAGACGCCTAGGGTTTAGGGTTTAGGGTTTAGGGTTTGAGGTTCTTTGATGCAGCCAGCAGCAACAGCAGCAGCAGCAGCAGCAGCAGCAACAGCAGCAGCAGCAGCAGCAGCCAAACCAACCTCCGATGGCGGACTCAGTGGAGGATCCGCAGCAGCACGAACTGCAGCATGCTGCTGTCGATCAGCAGCAGCAGCAAGGGCAGCAGCATGGGCAGCAGCATGAGCAGCAGCACGAGCAGCAGCATGGGCAGCAGCACGAGCAGCAGCACGAGCAGCAGCAACAGCAGCAGCAGCAGCAGCAGCAGCAGCAGCAGCATTCTCTTTCTCTTTTGCTGCAGGATAAACAAGAGTCTCTTACCCCTGAAGAGTTGCAGTCATTCTTCTCTAATATAGAAGAGCCAAGCCCTCATATGTCTTGTAAACCCTAAACCCTAAACCCTAAACCCTAATTTGTAAACCCTCAGAACTCAGCTCCGCCCAAGTCGTACTGATCGCATGTGCTAGACGCCTAGGGTTTAGGGTTTAGGGTTTAGGGTTTGAGGTTCTTTGATGCAGCACCTGCCGATGAATACCGCCCTCTAGGAAGTCCCCGTTACAGTGTCTGGTTAGCGTAAACCCTAAACCCTAAACCCTAAACCCTAAACCCTAGCTATTCTTATTCAGCAGGGCTGCTTGCATCTGCCACAGCTGCTTGCGGAAGGAGCCTGCCCCTTCAGGGTTTAGGGTTTAGGGTTTAGGGTTTAGGGTTTAGGGTTTATCTGCAGGGGAGCGGGAAGGCAGTCTGTGATGTGGTCGGGGGTCTCTAGCCAGAGTTCCGTGAGTGAAGAAGTAAGCAAACCCTAAACCCTAAACCCTAAACCCTAAACCCTAAACCCTAAACTCTATGTGTAGATAAAAACTACTCAGCGGGTGGTTTCTCCGCAGGTTTTAGGGTTTTTCTCTTGTGTGCCTCGCACACGGTTTAGGGTTTAGGGTTTAGGGTTTAGGGTTTGTGCAGGAGACTACAGCCCCTAAAGAGCAAGAGAGCTGGTTAGGGTTTATTAAAAGCATTTCGCCGCACTTCTTCGGCGGAGACCCGATAAAACAAAGACAAGCAAAAATGTTGTTAATCGAAGCTCTAGACCACTTCGATCTCGTCAACGGTCAGCCCAAACCCTAAACCCTAAACCCTAAACCCTAAACCCTAGTTGACCACTTCGATCTCGTCAACGGTCAGCCCAAACCCTAAACCCTAAACCCTAAACCCTAATTGATCACTTCGATCTCGTCAACCATCAGCTCAAACCCGAAAACCTAAACCCATGCTTTCCTGCGCACGGTTTCTTGCTTAGGGTTTAGGGTTTAGGGTTTATTATTTGTTTATTCAGATTTCTGTTTTTTGTTTAGGGCTTAGGGTTTAGGGTTTATTGCTGATTGTTTATCTCCTCAGCCTCCTTTTTTTGTTGAGGGTTGAGGGTTTAGGGTTTAAAGTTTAGAATTTATTGTTTGTTTATTCAGATTCCTTTTTTCATTTGAGGGTTTAGGGTTTAGGGTTTAGGGTTTAGTGTTTGTTTATCCAGATTTGTTTTTTCTTTTTCTTTTTCTTTTGAGGGTTTAGGGTTTAGGGTTTAGGGTTTAGGGTTTGTTTGTTCAGATTTGTTTTTTCTTTTGAGGGTTTCTCTGGTTTTATATCGGCGTCGATTCTTCAGCGACCTCCGCAGCATTCGTTTTGTGCTGCTGTGGTTGGGGTGTACGTACACCTTGTCGATTGCTGCAACTGCATGCAAGCGCTGGATTATCTATCACAGAATCAAAGGACCCAGTAACGCATCACTTCCTGCTGCTGCTGCTGCTGCTGCTGCTGCTGCTGCTGCTGGTGTTGATGATGATGATGATGATGGTGGAGTTGTCGCTGCTCTTGCTGCTGCTGCTGCTGCTGCTGCTCCTGATGTTGCTGATAATGCTGCTGCTCCTGGAATTGCTGCTGCTGCTGCTGCTGCTTGACATGCCGGTGTTGCTGCTGCTGCTTCGGCGTTGCTGTTCTGCTGGTTGCTGAACCCTCTCACGGTTGCAAGCGGGCGATCTGGGGTTTAGGGTTTAGGGTTTAGGGTTTAGGGTTTAGGGTTTGTGGGTTCAGGTTTGCGATTGTTTGTGCCGTTTGCCGTCTTTGGGGAGATAAAGCGCTCGGGAACAGAATGCCCTCAGGTCCTAAACCCTAAACCCTAAACCCTAAACCCTAAACCCTAAACCCTAATAAGCCCTAAACCCTCGTACTCCCTAAACCCTAAACCACCAGATTGTTGTTACGTCGGGTGTTCAAGAGGCTACAGAAGCCAAGCAACTCCTTTGTGCTAACCCTTGAGGGTTTAGGGTTTAGGGTTTATTAGGGTTTATTCAGAATTCGGAGTTCAGCGCTGAGGGTTTGGCGCCTTTAGTGTGGGGTTTACGGTGTAGGGTTTAGGGTTTACGAGTATTTAGAGTTTACGAGGGTCTAGGGTTAGTGAGGGTTTAGGGTTTGTGAGGGTTAGGGTTTAGGGTTTAGGGTTTAGGGTTTAGGGTTTGCGTGCAGGCGTTGTTTATGTTTGAGCGGCTTACCTGGACGTTTCAGCTGTTGATGCGTTTAATTGAAGACCTCCCTCAGCTTCTGATGTCTTTTATATATCTTATTAATTACGGCAAAGACAACTACGTAAACCCTAAACCCTAAACCCTAAACCCTAAACCCTAAACCCTGAGAAGAAGATCTATGCTAAGCCGTCTGCAATCTCGCAAGAAGGCCGCTATGCAGCTGTTTGTTGTTGCTTAGGGTTTAGACCCTATACACCACTTAGACTTAGGGTTAGGGGTTTATGAGGGTTTAGGCTTTATTAGGGTTTAGGGTTTACGCTCAGGCTATTGCTGTCATCAGCTACAGCAGCATAATGTTTATTATAACGTCAATTCGAATGGGCAAGCGATATCCTTTCAAAGGCACTCTGTATCTCCTCTTCTCTTCAAGAGCTCCTATGTAAACCCTAAACCCTAAA